TTTGTCAACGGTTCAGGTCGGTAGAATTCAGACATATTCCTAGGGTTCATAATGAGATTGTGGGCGCCTTGGCTATTCTGGCTTCAATGCTACACCATCTAGATAAGGCTTACGTCGACCCTTTGCACATCCAAGTTCGTGATCAGCATGCCTATTGTAATATGGTTGAGGAAGAACTCGATGGTGAACCTTGGTTCCATGATATTAAGGAATACATCAAGTCCGGGGTATATCCGGTACATGCCACATGTGATGGAAAGAGAATCATTCAGCGTCTGGCTAGTGGATTTTTCTTAAGTGGGGGAATCTTGACAAGAGAACTCTAAACCTGGGATTACTAAGGTGCGTGGATGCTAAAGAGGCTTCAACTATCATGACTGAAGTACACTCTGGAGTTTGTGGGCCAGATATGAAGGGGTATGTCTTGGCAAAGAAGATACTCCGAGCAGGTTATTACTGGCTCACCATGGAACGAGATTGCATAAGCTTTGTTCGTAAGTGTCATCAATGCCAGGTGCATATTGATTTGATTCATTCTTGCCATATGATTTGCACCCAATGTCGCACCTTGTCCCTTTGTTGCTTAGGTCATGGATGTTATTGGACTGATTGAGCCGCCAACATCGAACGAGCATAGGTTAATTCTTGTGGCCATTGATTACTTCACCAAGTGGGTGGAAAAGGCAGTGGTAGATTTTGTTCATTCAAATATCATTTGCCGATTCAGAATTCCCAAGGTAATCATCACAAACAATGCTGCTAATCTTAACAGTTACTTGATGAAAGAGGCATGCCAACAATTCAAGATTATGCATCGAAATTCCACTCCGTATCGCCCCAAGGCAAATGTAGTTGTTGAAGCTGCTAACAATAATATAAAGAAGATACTTCGTAAGATGGTACAAGGTTCTAGGCAGTGGCATGAATAATTGTCTTTTGCTTTGATGGGATATCAAAGTACTGTTCGCACTTCGGTGGGTGCAACTCTTATTTGTTGGTATATGGAACTAAGGCAGTCATACCTGCGGAGGTTGAGATTCCATCCTTTCGGATCATCGCGGAAGCTGAAATCGATGATGATGAGTGGGTAAAAACCTGGCTAGAGCAGCTGAGTTTGATTGATGAGAAAAGATTAACAACTGTGTGTCATGGTCAACTGTATCAGTAGAGAATGGCAAGAGCTTACAACAAGAAGGTGCGTCCCCAGAAATTTGAAGTAGTCCAGCTAGTGTTGAAACGCAATCTTCCACATCAGGCCGAAGCCAAAGGCAAGTTCGCCCTGAACTGGCAGGGGCCATTCATTGTGATAAGAGTGTTGCTCAATGATGCTTTGTATTTAACAGACATAGAAGGGAAAGTTGTGGATACTATGAATGATTTCTTCGCTCATCTTTAGTTACATATTTTGTACTTGGCATTTTTAAAGTTTGGTATGACGAAGGCATTTTATTCTGCTATTCAAATACTTATATACGTTGCTACCCTTTTTGAGCCTTAATTTATTTTCTTTCATACCCCTCTTTTGGAATCAGAAATAGAGTTAGAAAATAGAAAAAAAGAGAAAAGAAAAAAAAAAGAAAAAAAAGAGAAAAAAGATAAAAAAAAAAAGATGAACAAAAGAAAAACAACAAAATAAAACAACTTTATGTTGGAACTACGTTTAACCTGATTCCTTTAAAGGATACGTAGGCAGCCTTACTCTGAGGTTCACTCCCATTAAAACAAAAATCCATTCCCTAGACTCAAGAAACTTGGGCAGATGTTTTAGTTTTGCGAAAGATTCCAAAAGTTGTAACTTTAAACCCTTTCATCTTAAGTTGTTTTGAGGCTTCATACTATCATTTCTTTCTAACCTTGTCCAAAAGCCTACATTACGGTCCAAAGGAAGACCTTCCGATCAGATCTTTGAGGATGCCAAGTCAAACATGTGGTAAAGATATGATTTTCTTGCATCGTGGGTAGCACTTTGTTCATGGGCACAAGGAAAAATGGATAAAATGAGAGAGTCTTACTGGTGAAAACCATCACAGACACCATAAAGTGATGGTGAGTTGAGAGAAAATTAAAATGAGAGAGTCGTATTGGTGGAAACTCTCTCGAGCACCATAAGACAACAATGAGGGAGAGATAAACAAATGAGAGAGGCTTGATGGTGAAAACCCTTCTGGGCACTACAAGTCAAATAAGGATTGTGAGTTTTACGTAGGAGTTGAGTCATTGAAGCCCGGTTTTGAAGTGTGAAGGCGTGACGCGAACTGAAGTTTTGATTGGTTGGACAGATTAGGCTGTCAGTCCAAAATGCATGTCATGATCATTGGAGTCGACTTCCACTCAGATAAGTCCCCTATATTCCTCTTCCTTGTCCATATACACATTTCTGTTCAAAATATTTCTTCAATTCATCCTGTTTTGAAATTGCAACACTCTGCTCTTTTGGTTTTGTCTCTTTAAATCCTTTTCGGCCTATCTCTGTTTAAACAAGTAGAAAGGACTTCAAAGTCTACTACCAGCTTTCAGTTTGCACGCAAAGTTTGGCCAAGCACATCACAAGTGACATGATTCAGAAGGAAAACATGGTAATAATTTGTGTTCAGATGATCAAGTGATTCTTGAACTTTTAGTAGCATAAAGTTCAACGACTCTCAAATTCGAAGTGTAATGAAACAAACGAGCAGTAAGAGATCCAAGACATCTAGAGGCTTCTGTATTTAAGGGTTTGGTCAGAAGGTCAATCAATTCCTTGTTAGGCCGAAGCAGCTAATCAGAAAGAAGCATGACAACAACAGAACAGACATTTTTAGCAACAATGCCACAAACTAAACACCATGTTTTCAAACTCACAAGATTTTCTCTTTTTAAAACAGGGGCAGAAAATTTTGCTCTTTTTGCAGGGATCCTCCATGAGGAAATTAAGATTTATGGTAAGTTCATTTTCGACTCTTCAGGACCCTCTTAAATAATGAGATTAATTTTAAAGTTTTCAGGATCCTCTTGGATAATGGGATTTGATTTTAAGTTTTACTCATAGAAAATAGGATTTAATTTCTTAAGTTTTAGGACGCTCCTGGATATTGGAATTATTTTTTATATTTTTGCTGATAAAAATAGGATTTAATCTTATCAGGACCCTCCTGGATAAAGGAATTTGGTTTTAAGTTTTAGTCATAGAAAATAGGATTTAATTTCTTAAGTTTCAGGACCCTCCTGGATAATGGGATTCATTTTTAAGTTTTTTCTCATAGAAAATGGGATTTAATCTTAGAGTTGGGATTTGATTTTAAGTTCTTGCTCTTAGAAAATGAGATTTGATTTCTTATGTCTTAGGACCTTCCTGTATAATGGGATTTAATTTTCAAGTTTTCAGGACCCTCCTGGATAATGAGATTTAAGTTTCGAGTCTTCAGGACCCTCTTGGACCATGAGATTCGACTAACACACAAATATTCCTGGTACAAACTGGGGCAGAAAATTTTCCTTATTTTGTCTATTTCATTGTTATTGCTAGCACCCACCTGGAGAACCAAGGTTAATATTTCAAAATTTCTTTCAAGTCAGTAGCAGGTGCCCACCTGGAGAACGAGGGTATTCTTTCAGAGTTGATTTCAAGTTTCAGTTTTAGTAGCAGACGCCCACCTAGAGTACGAGGGTATTCATTTCAGAGCTGATTTCAAGTTTCAGCATTTGTAGCAGGCACCCACCAGGAGAAGAAGAGTATTCATTTCAGAGTTGATTTCAAGTTTCAGCATGAGTAGCAGGCGCCCACCTGGAGAACGAGTGTATTTACTTCAAAATGAATTCAAGTTCGGATCAGAACGTCAGACACCCACTTGGAGAATGATGGTATTTACTTCACGAATTGGGTTCAAGCTCAAGTTTACTTCAAGTCCAAACAGCAGGAACCACCTGAAGAATAGGGCGAACTTTCAAGTTTCATTGAAGTTTGAGTAGCAGGAGCCCGCCTGAAGAACATGGTCAATTTTTAATTTCCAAGTTCAAGTCAGAAGCCTCAGGAGCCCGCCTGAAGAGTATGCTCAATTCAAGTTAGAAAAAGCAGAATCTCGCCTTAGGAATGCGAGTCAATAGTTGGAGATGCACAACAAGATCAAGAGAAGATTCAAGACAGAAGAGTAGATAGGATTTTGTTGTTTTTCTTATAATTTTTTTCTTATTTAATTTTATTTTTGATGTAATGACAGGAACCACGGAATGGGACCTCGACGACACTTCAATCGGCTCTCTACCTCAATACACTCCATTACTCCTTTTACTTCCGAACTACACATGGCCTGATTCCTTTATTGCCAAGGATATGTAGGCAGCTCAAATGCCAGAGCTCGGTCACAATTTTTTTATCCATCTTTATTTTTTTTGAATAAGTGTCGGGTCAGAAATCAATTACGTTGCTTACTTAATTCTTTGCTCAAATCCTTTTCGAGTTTTCAAGTAAACATGCGCAACTGTAAGCACGTATTTTTTGACCCGCACGATTTTTAAAGTGAGTTTTCGTATTCTTAGTATTTTAAAGTATTTACTTGAGTTATTTTAATAGGATTTTAGTCTATTTTTATTTTAATTTCAAAATATAAATTTGAAAATACAAAATATTTTTATTTTTATTTTATTATATATTTTTCTCATTTTACTTAAGGTCATTAGTATTTTAGTAGTGATATTATTTTTACTTTGCGATTATTTTACCCTAATTTTCTCTATTTTTATTTTAATATAATCCCCTAAGAATACCAACAATAATTTCATATTTTAATATAGTTTAGCCTAATTTATTAGGATTGATATTGCATTTTATAGTATTTTTCATCTTATTTTAAAGGGAGATAATTAAGATTTTGGGCCAAAATTTCAGATCTAAAGCCCAAATATTTTCAACCTCCTTCAGCAGCCCAACCCCTTAACCCCAACTAAAGCCCCGCCGAATCGTTTTTATCCCTTGACCCGCCCCAATTTAATGTTAAAATCCTAGCCTTTCATTCCTCTTAGATCTAACAACCCATATTAATTCCTCCAACCGTACAAAAGCTAATTCTTTCCAGACCCTAAACTTATCTCTAACCCAACCAGCTGCACACTCCATTCCCCACCTTGTTTCCGTCCTAAACTCGCTAGAAAACTCATCAAAATCGGCGAGTTCACTCATCGAGCCACCAAATGGCCCCCTCTCACTTTCCACGTCACCCGATCCCTAACGAACCACTGACAAGAGAATATTTTCTCGCTCCCTCACGCATTTTTTTTTAATTTTTTATCTCTTGGACGAATTTGGGTAAATGTTAGCCATAGGATCTGAGGAGTTTAACATCCTAGCTTCCATTTGTCCGATTTTATTCAAAAAGAGGGGAAAAATTAATTTTTGGATAGAGGTTCTAGAGATTTCTTGACTTGATGAAGATGGTTCGAGGTGAGTATATATAGGTTTACACACGTTTTAGGGGATTTTTCGGACAAAAAATTGAAAAAAAAGTTCTAGGGTTTAAGAGAAAGCTTCTTCTCTTCTAGGCGATTTGTCTTGAGATTTGTCTAAGCCTTCTTTCGAAAAAAATATTTATATTTTTGAGTGTAATTGGCGTTCGAGTATCAGTAAAGGAAGTTCAAAGGGAAATTATCAAAAGTATTTAGTTTTCCTTCTCTGTTTTCTTTTTTTCCTATTCCAAGGAAGAAAAATCAGAATTAAAAATGGAGCTAAGCTGAGGTTTGAAGCTGAGTCGAGGCGTCGTTCGAATTCGAGCTCGTAGTTCTAGGTTCGTTTGTCCTTGTTCCGTTCGTTTCTGGTTGAATTCGTTGTTCAATCTTCTGCTTGTATCTTCTTCCTCCGGACAGAAATATATTGGAAAATTTCACTTCAGGTATCCTTTATCGTTCTTACTTTTATTGGTTGATGGTGTTGATCAAAGTGTAATGAGAGCCTGGGGTAAATAGTTATAATTAGCTCGAATTTTAGCTCAATCGGGATAAGATGAGTGAGTTTGAGCGTTACTAGGGGCAGATGTTTGCGAGTTTCGTAGTGTTGAATTTGAATGAATTATTTTTCATTACGTGTGTTCTATTTCACTTTTGGGTCGGTTTTAACATGCTAGATCGCAGACCGAGTCGATGTTACGATCAATGATTTAGTATTTGATTAATTCCATACAGGAACATTGGTATTTGATTGCTTGAAGTTTTACACATGAATATGGAACCTATTCGATTAACCTTCCTGTTATAGCTCAAGTTGATTCGGTGTTTGAAGTTATCCTCATCTATTTGATGTCAATGACCTGTTCCTACTCTCTGTTAAGGTGTGAGTCTTTAAGATTTTATCTCGAAGGTTGTTAAAGGCTAAATTAGACTCTTACCCATTTGAGCTTGGAGATAGAACTTTTGTTAAATGTTTGGTGCTGAAGCGAAAATGCAAAATCTATGGTTAATACGGTTTAATTGATTTTTCTACAACTTGCATGCGATTCTGTATTCATTATGCGTATTTATGAAGGAATTGAGTGTATGCTGCTGTGTCCGGTTGCATTTCCATTGTCCATATCTTTTGAAAGTTCTCACCTATTTCCTTCTAACTATAAGCATATGAACTTGTTACCTCATCTTGCTTGCTGGTTCTAATTAGAAACATTTAGGTTGGTGTCAAGAAAAGTTTTCGGTTCATTGTTGTCTTGTTATTCCCTCGGCGACATGGGTAATTAACTGACCATGTCGACTATAAAAGATAATTTTCTAGATAACCTTAAGCCTTAATCAGTTTTGGTAAGTTGGGCGGTTGCTAATTGTGAATTGTCATCCAGTTGGTTGATGGTAGTTGGTTGATGGTTGTCTGTTGATCTCTGATGATTGAGCATATCTTTGTTAACTCTCATGCTTTAAATCTGTGTTCCACACATCAAGTTAAGAAGTGAAAGTTTAATTAGTCGATATATGCAGTGTCGTCGTCCTTCTCATAGCTGCCAAGTCCTTATAATTGTTTAAAATATGTCATTGTTCGCGTTTGAGTCAATAGGGCCAGTATTCCCTTTTCTTTTGATGCCAGGATCAGTTTAACTGTTTAAAATTCTTAAAACTTTCTTGTGTGGTTGGAGTGCTTCATGTTTACATGTTCAGTTAATTCGTCATGTGTCGATGCAAGCATGCTCAATTCCCTGATAAGTTTATTATGTTCTCTTACTCTTCGGATAGATGTCTTGTTTTGCCTAATGAGATCGTGATTGTTACTCTTGTGAGATCTGAAAGTGAGAGATATGTTACAATGGGGGTCTAGTTAGAGATCTGAAAGTGAGAGATATGTTACAATGGGGGTCTAGTTAGATAAACTTTAGGTGGCTCTTATCATACTTTGATCTACCACTTCTTAATTTTATTTTTTCTTCTGCTTTGTCGAATTGTTATATTTTTCTTCTCTTTTATGTGTTTTCTGTGAGGACTACTATTTTTGTGTGAGGAGATGATTTAAATGAACTATTTTGAATGATTTTTGGGTCGTGGGAATTGGGATAGGATCAACCCATTAGATACATAAATTATTCTCATGTTTTAGGATTGAGTTTGGTCAAATGCATAAAATGAAAAGTTAAAAGAGCATGAAATTAATTTTCTTTTAGTTTTCTTTTATTTACTTTAATTTATTTTCTATTTACATTGTGCGCTAGTATTATGTTTAGGCCGACCACACTGGGGTAAAAAAATATTAGGTCTTTTCTTTTTTCTTTGAGGCTAAAGGTTGTCCCTTAGTTTATTGTTTTAATCAGGGAATGTCCGAAGATCTTGTAAATATTTTAATCAGGATCTTCAAGGGATTTTGGGAATGCCTAATACCCTTTCCCCGAGTCAAATGAACCCTCTTGGGATTTCTGGTGCAGTGAATTGACACATCGAAACCAAATGTCATCTGAAAATTCTTTAAAACACAACTTTTGTCACTTTCAGTTGAAACCCTTTTGATCTTAAAAAATATTTTGTTCTTTTTAAAAAGGGTTAAGGTAAAAAATAAGGGGGTGTGACATCACTCAAGGAGCATCATATCATGAAATATAATGTTTTGATTGATGTTGTTCATATCATCCAAAACTTCTTGCCGTTCAAGCACGATAAAAATATGCATCATTCCAAATAAGAAGTTATGCAAATAACCTGTTCACTGAAATACACATTTCATCTCCTCC